AAAAGAATTGCACACCAAGTGAAAAGTTTCCCTTTCAAACCTGACGGTCTATGGGGCAAGTGAAGTAGAGTTCACTTGTTTCTGTGACCTCGGCATATGAAGAGATAGTGTAGTCAGCACTATGCCCAGCCGCCTTTACTTTCCCTAACAGGAGTTAGGTACCCATCAGAGTTGGGTGGACTCAGGGACGGTCTACTGACTTGAACTCGGATTCGAACTCGAGACTAACGGGTTAGCAGTCCAGCTCTCTACCGCTAGACCACTCCGTCCCACACCAAGTGAACGCCTAATAAAATGTGTATAAAAGTGAGGGATATTATTAGTACTTTATAAATTTACATGCGTTGTTTTGAGAAATCGGAAATAGCGTAAATTAGTACTTCCGGTCAACAGAGATTACTCAAAATTTGACAGAAGGTAGAAAATCTATCTAAAATAGTATGCAACTTATAGGCTTTTGAAAAATTCAAAGTAGAAAAAGTACCACTTCTGGTTATCGGAAATCGCTAAAAAGTTGATCAGTATCTACGATTTTGATAAAATGCTTATACATGAAATTTCATCAACCTAGCTTTAACAGTACTCAAGTTATCGTGTTTACACACAGATACACACACAGACAAGATTGCAAAATTATATTTTTCCGTATCAGTGAGGTGTAAAACGTCGAGATTTGTAAAAATCCTTTTTTTTTTTTGCACGATTACAATACTTTCTCTATACGAGAAAGTAAAAATAGTACAAGTAACTAGAAACAGGGTTCATACCCTATTTTGAAAATGAAACTAGACCTTTGTAGTTTGTAACCACACCATTATTTGTGCTTATAGCTGAGAAACTTTTGTCAGCTATTAAAAACCTGTATCCCCCCCCCCCCCCCCCCCTGACACATACAACAAGAGACAGTAGATGGGTCACAGTAGCCCAGTGTAATACTTCATAGCATGAACTGTACCATAACTTTTATTCCCCCTCCCTAGCCAAACAGCACCAACTACATACTTGGGGTCACTGTGAGTTAATACAAGTTTAGATATCAGTGACCTTAGTTACTAGGAGGGTTGGGTTAGTCCTAATCGTCAGCTTTTGCAAAGATTTCAAAAACAGTTTGAAGAGTGAATTGAAAATACAGGTAGTTAAATTATACGTAGGCTACTACTTACAGTTTCCCTCATAATTTTTTTTATAAGACTACCTGCCTGCAACCTCAGACAAACTTATAAACAATAGCGGGTAAAAAAAAAAAAGGTCAAGATGTGGCGTATGGCCAATCATTCCTTCACTAAATAACAATTTTAAATACTTGTAACACCTTTACATGGTCAGCCACACAACAACAACAAAAAAAAAGACAGGTCTAACACTTTTCCCCCCCCTCCCTCCACCAATGGCATAGTAACTGAGAAATCAGGTTTCTTCTGGGATCCAACAAAAAACGTAATACCAGTGTTGACCCGTCCCGACTTTTTAAAGTCTGAAATTCACTTTTCTAAATTCAAAACTTTTTCCAGACTGCGTACAAACCCTGTTAAACAATGTTTAGTAGCAGAAATATTAACTGAAACACTTAAAAATAACTAGTTATACAAAATGAATAGTAAATCAGTATTTAACACACAATTAAAATATCTCTATCCGAAATTTTAAATGTTCTGTGTTAAAAAATAAAAGATGACGTCAAATAAAGTACAGTTTACAGCAATTCCAGTGTATAGTTTTCTGGAACTGTATGGCAGACTTTGCCATTGTTTTCTTGTTTTTTACTGCTATACAATTTCGGAATAATAACCAACGCTAAACTAAGGTTTTACCTTTATTATTACTGTAAAGTTTTAATACAATTGTTTAAAAACAGGTACATGAATGAAAATTTGAAACATTTTTGTGACTTTCAAAACGTTTAAATCAGTTAAAATAGGCCTAGTAGTTAAATCTTCCTTAAAATCTGAAATAATAGCATTGGACGACTTTACGTACCTAAAGCGATAGATTACCCGTAACTAACAGGTTTATAACGGATAAAACTCGCTAATTCTTATCTGAATCATATGCTACTAGATCTAGTACTAACTACTAGTAACTAGATCTAGAGGTAATCTATCGTTTTAGGTATGTAAAATCGCCCGCGGCTAGTAATGTACGAAACAGTTACCTCACTGTTAAGGCTTTAATAGAAGTATATTGTGATATATTTGTGTCAAATATTATAGATACATGAATAATAAACCTAAATCATTGGCTAAATATATCATATAGGCAAGAAATTAACTTAAAACAGCAGTGTTTGCGAGCAGGATTTGCTATATAAAAAGCGGCCATCTGTAAGTTAGAGTGGCTTCCCCTGAATCTTGCGCTATAAGTTTACAATAAAAAAATAATAAACAAGATGGCTGCTATATTAAATGAGCATGGTTGCATCAGTTGGAAACATCGCTAGTCTTCATTTATTACTGAAAAGTTTTAATTCAGTTGTTTAAAAACAGGTACATAAATGAAATAAGGAAACATTTTTGTATTTTTCAAAACAAATCCTCCTCAAAATGTGAAATAATTATTAAAATTTAAGGGGTCATCTGTTTTTCACATTAATAGTCGCGGGCGATTTTATGTAGGCTACCTTTTACTACCTAAAACGATAGATTACCAATAGCCTAATATAATTAGGTAAAATCTTAGTTTAGCATCGTAAATTCGGCCAAAACTAGTAATGTAGGAGAGAGTGAATTAATGAATATGTCATTAAATATGAGTAGGCTATATTTTCGTATATTTTGATAAAATATTATAATAATTGAATAATAGATCACCATTTATGGTTAAATCAATTTAAATATCCTGAAATTAATTTTTATCAACCCTGTTCGAGATAGTAAATTTGCTATTAAAAACAGCAGCCATCTTAAGAAAATGTTATTTAGAGTAGCTTCCCTTTCATTTCTATTTGTATGAAAATGTATTTAAATATGATTGTCTTGTTGTATAATCCGTATTACAAAGAATTTTTTTTTTTTAATTCTGCTCTTTAAAAACTGAATTTCCTAACAAACAACTTTATTAATTCTAGAAGCATTGTGAGATGCAACTTGTATCCTTGTATTAAATCAGGTTTTTTTTTTTTACTAATGTTTATTTGATCTTACTATTACTATATAGATCTAGTTTGAGTTTTTTTTTATTGTTTGAATGTTCACTATTTTCATTTCAGGTTTTTCTTTTCATCAATTAGTGATTCTATCGTAACTTATGACATTTTTTTTTTACTTCTCTTTACCTTAATTAAACCCCAACCTCCATCATATTTTTGTTGTCAATGTCACAACAAGTCATAATGTAAAAAATTACGCTTCACTCTGCCTTATCTAAGATCTCTAACCATACTTTTGACATTAAATGTTTGTCATCATTTATATATACAGAGAGATAAAATGTATTATCCACCAGCTTCCCTCGTAAAACATCATCTAAAACAATGAGCCAGTCCAACCCTTAAGTGCGTGTTGTCATTATGGTCGATCCCAAGTCTCCACCTGCCAGACACATTTTGGTTATCCTTTGTTGTCAAAATGTCAATATCAAGTACCAAAGTGAGTGATATGGGGTTGTCCATAAATGATGTCACATATGATTTGCTACGGGAGTGAGTGAAGATTTGTGACATAAACTCAGGCGGCTCCGCAATTTAAGACGTGTCTGTCTCATGAAAGGAGGTGAACAGGGAAAAATACCTAGGTGGTTGATGGAGAACCTCTATAATGCTTTGTTCAATCAAAATAACGATAAATAAGCATTAGTATACGTATACCTTGCTTAAAACGAATCATCACAAATGTTGCAAGCCTGCTAGTTTAAGACATTTAAACGGCCTCAACACATTATCCCCGTCAAAAAGGCTTGCCTGCCGACGAATAAGCCGCGTCTAATGCGGGGCGTTAGGAATACGGCCATTAGCTTGGGCCGCGTTAGAGCACCAGTAGGCTATCGCGCTTTGTAAGATGACGTATATACTTAAAATCAATTTCGCTAAACTGCGCGAAAATTTAGTAATGTTCCATCGTTTGAGAAAATTTATGTTCTTGGACTTAAATTGAAATATCATGTTGACTGTTATATTATGTAAAATATGACATAAATATGGCCAAACGAAAGAAATATTCATTAGTTACCTTCATCGCACATTACTAGCTACGTTGGAATTTACTACGCTAAACTAAGATTTTACCTAAAATTAATAGGCCTAACCTCTACTCTAAACTAATCAGTAGGCCTACTAATTACTAATTTAAATTTAGGGTAATCTATCGTTTTGGGTACGTAAAATCGCCCGCGATTTGTAATGTGAAAAACAGGTGACTCCTTAAATTTTAATAATTATTTCACATTTTGAGGAGGATTTATGTTTTAAAAATTCAAAAATGTTTCCTTGATTCATTTATGTACCTGTTTTTAAACAATTGAATTAAAACTTTTCCGTAATAAATGAAGACTAGCGATGTTTCCAACAGATGCAACCATGTTCATTTACTATAGCAGCCATCTGGTCTAAGTTTTATTTTTATAAGCTTTAGCGCCAGATTCAGGGGGAAGCCACTCTATTTTACAAATGGCTGCTGTTTATATAGCAAATCTTGCTCTCAGACACTGCTGTTTAAAGTTAATTTCTGGCCTATATCGATATATTTAGCCATTGATTTAGGTTTATTATTCATTTATCTATAATATTTGACACAAAAGTATGACAATATACTTCTATTAAAGCCTTGACAATGAGGTAACGTTTTCGTACATAAATAGCCGCGGGCGATTTTACGTACCCAAAACGATAGATTACCAAATTTTTAATTTAGGCCTAGTAAGGCCTAGTATTATTTATTTAAAAATTACTACCTCTAGATCTATCTGTTTTTTCACATTATTAGATCTAGTCGCGGTCGATTTTACGTACCTAAAACGATAGATTAACGATGTACCTAACTTTAGTTAGATCTAGTAACTTGACTTACGGGATTATCAAAAGAGAAGATACATTCTTCTTTATAAACTTTTTCATCCCTTGTAGTAGATTTTAGATCTACTAGTTTTTCAAGTTCTTGCATAGCCATGACTAATAATGGTATTGGTATTAACTATTAAGATGTAAAATCTAAAATTCTTTAGATCAAGAAGATAGATCTAGACTCTAGCTGGTAGATCTAGGCCTTGTTACTGTTAGATCTAAGTATGGAAGTTAGTTAACTTTAGGCTTTAGGCTTTGAGTCTCAGTGCAAACAACGGTTAGCCTAAAAACGAGAACAATTCAACAATGAATTGGCGAAATGGTAATCTCACGATATAGCGTCGGAAATTATCTGGTAATGTGTGTTGAGTTTCGGTAACATTAGTTACTGTAAAAAAAAATTAGTAAATCTAAATATTATGAATAAATTCGAGTGTAGTAATTAATGTTTTTTTAGGAAAAAGAAAAACAACTGGCAGAAGATTTGCGACAACTATGTCTAGATTTAGTGAAATAAGACGATTAGATTTAAAGTTAAAAGTAGTAAGAAGAACTAGAACACTGTTAAGTAGCAGCAATAATTAGCACATACACTGACTTAAAATAATGAGAAATACAAAATAATTAGCAAAACAGTATTTAAAATGCAACTAAAATCAATCCATGCACATTTTTAAAAATTATGTATTAAAATAATATGGCGGCAAATAAATGAACGTTTACAGTACTCTTGGTGGTTTCCGGAACGGCTTGACAGACCTCGCCATGGTTTTATTGTTTTTTACTGCTGTACAATTCCGGAATAATAATTGCGCTCCACCTTTTATAAAACACTGAACTTTTAGAACAGTTTTTCCCGAACGAAATAGAATTTATATAGAAAATATATACATAGTTTTAACAGTGTCCGTCCCCCCGGAAATTTTAGTTCCGCCACCCCCCCCCCCCCCCCAAAAATTTTTTTTTTAAGTGCACCCCGGGAGAAAAAAGTCTGGATGAAACACTTTTGGAAATTGGGAAAGATTGATTTCAACTGCAACGTTAAATATTGTTTTGATAATCCGTTTGCACTAAATGTATACATGGCCAGTTGGGGGAGAAATACAACGGGCGCTAGGTTTGTAGTGCTGTCTTTTTCTCTAAACCCAAACCAAAATCACCACCTCAACTTCAAATTTAACCGGAAAAGGAAAAAGTAATTGAAAAAGGATTTTTATCCAGAATCGGCATTTTAACCGGATTTAACCGAGCTCTACACGTAGCTAATGCACATTCATACAAAATATAGACATAACCCTAAACCTTGCATATTATAAGCTCAAACTTTACAAAAGTCGCATTCAGACTTTCTTGCAAGCCACTCTTCGTCTACTAGGGCGGTATAATGAAATAGATTTTATATAGAAAATATACTTTTACCAGTGTCCGGCCCCCTCCTTCGGAAAATTTAGTTCACCCCCCCCCCCACCCCCCCCCCCCCCCCCCCCAGGGGCGGAACTACTGTGCGGGGAATTTTTTTTATAGCTAAAAAAAGAATTTTGACTTGATGGTTGATTTGTAAAAACAATACTGTATCTGCGGTTGGTATATCTTTAGTATATAGACACCATCCCACGCTCTTGTATATATTCTTTTCCCCTTTGTTTTTAAACCATTGTGAAAGCCGTCCTCTTTCTCCTACAATCAAACACACGCTGTTGTCTGCAAAATTCTTTTGAAAAAAAAAGGCAATTATGCGAGAGGCCGCTAGATATTAAATCGACTTTTGCTTCGTTATAGCGTTGGAAAGGGGCCCAAAATCCATCGTGATTCTTACAATGTAAAATGTACCTTTTTACTTTCTCGTATATACGAAGTATTTTTTTTTTTTTTGCAAATCTCGACGTTTTACAGCTCCCTGAGTCGGAAAAACATAGTTTTGCAATCTTGTCCGTAAGTCTGTCTGTGTGTGTGAGTTTCTGTAGACACGATAACTTGAGTACCGTTACAGCTAGGTTGATGAAATTTCATTTATAAGTATTATATCAAATTTGTAGATCGGTTTCAACTTTTCAGCGATTTCCGATAACCGGAAGTGGAACTTTATCTACTTTCAATTTTTCAAAAGTGTAAAACTTGAGTACCATCCTGATGGCACACCGCCTTGAAGTGGTGGGATGGCTTGTGTGCCTAGTGCTCCTGGCAGGTCTAACCAAGTCGGACAGATCTGCGCGGGTAGGGGCCAGACCAAACGTTGTGCTCTGGTCCTCCAGGTTGGGGGTTGTGCGATGGGCTAACTACTCGTCCACATAAAACAAAAGACAGTTACAGAAACCGAAGCCAAATCTGAAATTAATCCAGTCCTCGGGAGAACCAGGGCTCCACTTAGGAGAAGTATGACGCAATGCAGCCAAATCCGCAAGGAAGCCACAGAGCCGACCCCTCTTCTTCAGCCGAGGAAAACTAAATCCACAGCCCCAAAACTACTGTCGCAAAAGAAACCTATCCTCATAAGAACATGGAACGTCAGAACACTATGGGAAGCAGGGAAGTGTGCACAGGCAGTGAAAGAAATGCAACAGTATCATCTTACAGTGCAAGCCTGTGCGAAACAAGATGGAACACCTTTGGAGAGACAAAATTCCAGACGGGAGAAACACTGTTATACTCGGGAAAAGAAAATGAGGACGACCCACGAGAGGCGGGCGTAGCCTTGCTATGGACAAAGGAGGCAACAAAAAGCCTGATGGAATGGGAACCTGTATCTGATCGAATATTTAAAGCTAGATTTTAATTCAGGTTTCAAAAGACCTCCATTATCATGTGCTACGCTCCTACGAACAACGCAGACGAGGAAGAAAAAGACCGCTTCTACGAAGAGCTTCAGTCGGTGGTTGATAAGGTACCCAAGCGCGACATGCTGATCCTCATGGGTGATTTATATGCCAAAGTAGGCAAAGACAACAGAGGCAGGGAAATGGAGATGGGAACCAATGGCCTAGGGGAAATGAATGAGAATGGTGAACTCTTCGCAGACTTTTGTGCCTCAAATGAGCTTACTATCGACGGTACACTTTTCCCCCACCGAAGTTGTCATAAAGCCACCTGGATATCACCAGATCATCATACCGAAAACCAGATTGATCATGTCGCGGTAAGGCGTCGTTGGAGGGCCTCACTGCAGGATGTGAGAGCAAAGCGAGGAGCAGACATAGGATCCGACCACCACCTGGTTGTTGTTAAACTGAAGATGAAGCTAAAGGCGAAGAATAAGCAACATGAAATTGATCCACGAAGAAGATTTGGATGTAAGTAAACTTAAGACGCAAGACAACAGGACAAATTTTCAGGTCACCCTAAAGAATCGATTTGAAGCTCTACAGACAAAAGAGAAAGATTTTGATTCAGTTGAACACACCTGGGAAATATATAAGCAAGCCTCTATTGAAGCCTGCGAAGAGGCTCTAGGAGGTAGAGCGCCCAACAGGAAGCCCTGGATCACAGATGATACATGGCAGAAGGTGGAAGAAAGAAAAAGCCTAAAGAGCTAACTAAATCAAGCAAAAACACGGCAGCAAAAACAAGCAGCAGCCGCTCGATATACCGAAAAGGCTAAAGAGGTGAAAAGGAAACTAAGAAATGACAAGAGATTATTTATAAATGAAATGGCAGAGCAGGCCGAAACAGCTGCCAGTAAGGGAGATCTCAAGACGCTCTATGCAACAACCAGAGCTCTGAGTGGGAGGAAAACCAATCCCAACAGGCCAGTGAGGATCAAAGATGGTAAACTTCTAACGTCAATTGAGGAACAATTGGCACGATGGAGAGAGCACTTCCAGGAAATACTGAACGGTCCAGCACCTCAAGATCCACCAGACCTGGAGCCAGTGGAACCCCTTAACATCAATACCGAGGAAATCACCAGACAGGAAATTCTCAACGCCTTAAATAGTTTGAAGAGTGGCAAGGCATCAGGACCAGATAATATCCCAGCAGAGGCATTAAAGCAAGGTGGAGAAGAAGTAGTAAATCGACTTCATAAATTACTTAACTTAGTCTAGAACACAGGACAGATCCCAACCGATTGGAAGAGGGGCCTCCTAGTGAAGTTGCCTAAGAACGGTGACTTATCTCAGTGTGGAAAATGGAGGGGCATTACCTTGTTGTCCATAACAAGTGAAGTCCTTACCAGAGTTATTTTGGACAGAATGAAAGAGGCGGTTGACCTTTAGCTAAGAGAGGAACAAGCAGGATTCAGGAAGGAAAGATCTTGTACAGATCAAATAGCCACTCTTAGAATTATTGTAGAACAGACGATAGAATGGCAAGCCCCGCTTTACATCTGCTTTGTTGACTTTGAGAAGGCCTTTGATAGTGTGGATAGGCAAACAATATGGAATCTGTTGAGACACTATGGTGTACCTGCTAAGTTAGTGGAAATAATCCAGCAACTTTACAATGGATTTTCATGTAAGGCAAGATCATCTGCAAACTCCAGAACTTCTAGTTTCCCCATGAGTGTCCACTGAATACCTTTTCCAGAACTGGCATAGGCTATGCGTGTCACCCAATCGAGAACCACCAAGAAGAGGAGGGGCGACAGCAGACATCCTTGTCTCACACCTGTGTTGACCTGGAACTCTTTAGACAGTTTCCCAGCATGGCTAACTTGGCATGAAAATCCATTGTAAAGTTGCTGGATAGGAAGAAATGGAAGGAAATGGTGGAGGCCCTATGCTCCATAAGGAACAAAGAGGATTAAGTCAAAGTAAGTCAAAACTTGAGTACTGTTTCAGATAGATAAATGAAATTTCACATGTAAGTAAAATATCTAATTCTCTGCCTTCTGTCAAATTTTGAATAATTTCCGCTGACCGGAAGTAGTAATTTACGCTATTTCCGATTTCTCAAACAACGCATGTGAATTTATGAAGTATATTAATGATATTCCGCACTATTATTATACACAATATATTTTTTTCGTTTCACTTGTTGTGCAATTATTTTTTTTACCAGATTTTATTCTATTTTAAAAAGTTTAAATAATTAAAATGGATTAAAAATATTGTCTTTATCCCGAGTTGCCACCCCCCGTAGTGTTATATAAGACTATTTGAGAAAGTTTAGGGGAGATCACTCCCGGTTTATTTAAATAGGCCTACTGTTGTAAACATGTTAGATTTATAGTGCTGCTTGTCTAGATCCAATGGAAGACACAATATGATTATAAAAATAGATATCACTTTATACTATTTTAGTAGTCTTTTTGTGATCTGCCTACTATACATTTGCAGAACTGACAAAGTAAG